GTGGTACAATCTGTAGACACCAGAATAATAAAAGCGAATATATTCTGCTGGCAGGTTTCTACATTTGAAGTTAATTTATGCGTTAAACTGTTTCACAGGAGTGATCGTAGCACTCTGCATCAGCAGTGCTGTGTCTGACTCCCTGCCAGCTCCCAGATCAGCTTCTCTGATTGGTTGATGTGGCGTGAGCAGCAAAAGTTCAATGTATTCCTTCTCCAGCATAACGGAGGCCAGCTGAGCTTGGCTATTTTCCAGCGACTCTCTCAGAGCTTGAAAATCCTTATGCAGAACTTCTACCAGGGCGAGGCGGGCGTCCAGGCTGGTTAGCTTTCTGTCGATGGATTGCAGGACGCCGCTGTAGCTCCTGTCTGGAGACAAAGTAGAGGTAGAAGCATTACGATGTTGTCAAAACACTCATCCAGGTAGCTCTCCAGGCTCGTCTTCCAGTTTGTTCCCTCGGAAATATGGGACAATTGTTAAAGTTTAAACCTACTTTGTTTAAATTACAATTATTGGCTTACTTACCTGAGTGGATTTGTTTTTGAATTACCTGCATGTCGCCGTTTTACTTACGCACACAGCTCCCGTGAGATCTCAGCTGTTCATTCCCTCCTCTGCTCAACAAACACTTTGCAAGAGTTTTTTTCCATCCTTCAAAGCAGCTCAGGGAGATAGGATAGCAGAGAGAAAGAAACAGAGATTTGAAGAGTTGTTGAGACATTTACAACTGCATCTCCCACTGCGATAGTTTGTGGTGTTGATTTGTTAAAACGTTTCTGATCAGTTTACTGTGGTAAATGTGTGTCCTTTGTGTGCAGGGCCATTCTGCTGTGATGAACAACCCTTCCAGGCAGCCCCTGTCCCTGAATGTGGCCTACAGGTCTGTTCCTGCTCACCTTTATCAAAATAAAATTCAACTACTTTTTTATTCTCATATTCCATTTAGGGAGAAAAAGTCCAGCAACTAATGGCACCAAAGGGCTGACACAATTAATAATTTTAATCTCGTTTAATTGACACCGATACCATTTTGAGAGCCAACAGTTTATTCAACTATTGTCACCTATTTATGGTAGGCAATAAAAAGTTCTACTGGATTCACTTTTAGTCTTTTTCCCCTCTTTCATAAAGGTAGGCAGCAGCTTGACAGCCATGATGGTAATTATTTTATATCCAATTAGCCTGCAGTTCTTCATATATAAACACACACACATCAATTTTAAACAGATGTTATCAGCTGATACTGTACAGCCAGGTCGGTATTGGGGCCAAAAAATGGCATCGACGCAACACTAGAAATAATTGCCAACTAATTTAGTAATTTATTAATTGTTAACTGAAATATAGAGACTCTAAAACATACCCTTAACTGACAGTGACCCACTTAAAGCAGTCACTATACTAGGGATGGAACGATTTATGAAAACCGTCCGAACCGTTCAGTTCGACTGTCTCTGTTCGGTTTGCGTGTGTTGCGTTCGGTTCATGCGCTGCTCCTTTTTTCTCATAGGAGAAACATGTACACTCCAGAGCAGAAGGTGGCGGTACTGCGACCAAAGCCAACCACCAGTAGTTAACAAGAAGAAGAAGAAGCGAAGCAGCTTAGCCAGGTGTAGCAGAAAAAAATCAGTTGTTGTGGAGAATTGTGTGGGTATGGCGAGTGGGGAAAAAACAGGAGCTGGAAGACGCGCCAGCAGCACTTTATAGGTCTGCTGTATGGGACCGCTTTGCATTTAGAGTGACCTACAATGATGCCGGAAAGAAAGTTGTGGATAAAAGTGCGTTTTGTTTATGCAAACAGCAACATGACCAACATGTCAGGCTAACCCCGAAATCCCACATACTCCGTCAGTGCTCCGCCCCGCTGCGCTCCAGACCGCCTGCACAAAGCAAAGCCTACAGCCTCCGCTGTGGCTCCCGTCCGCTCCGCTCGGAGTTCCTTGGAGATCGTAGAGGGCATGATTAAATTCAAAGCAGCAAAACATACGAAAATGATCCAGGGTTTCCGCGGATCATTAAAAATAATTGCAATTCCTTACTTTTTTTGGATTTTTTCATTAATTTCATAAAAAAAAAAGTTCATTAATTTTTTTTATTTTTCGGTGTAACAAGAAACATACCGAACCAAAAAACCGTGACCACGAAACCGTGAACCGAACCGTTCCACCCCTACACTATACCAAAATTGTTAAGAATAGAAATAATTGCATTTAGGATAGAAAAATCTTGTTGATCATCGATATGCTCTATCCAGAACTCCTGGAAAAGTTTTGCTGCACCAGGTCTGATTCTGGAAAAAAATCTTCCTGGAAAAAGGAATCTTCTATCTGATTTTTTTTCCCAGTGTTTTATTGTCATTACACTGTCACAAGTTCAGAGCAACAAAATTCACTCCTTGCATTTAACTCATTCTCTTTGGGGAATGCACCCAGGGAGCAGAATGTGAGTTAGGGGTCTTGCTCAGGGACCCAAAGTGGCAGTCTGTGGGAGTGGAGCTGAACTCAGAACCTGAGGATGCTTCTCACCACTAGGCCACCACTCTGCAAAGCAGGCATTAGCGTGAAGGGTCTCGCATGTTTCTGAAATGGAGGTAATGTTGGCTCTAAATAGAAATGCAAAACCACCTTAGTCTTAGTTTCAAGAACTGAATTAAAAAATTTAATATTTCTAATCTTAAAAAAAAAAAGTCTAATTCAAGAATTTTTAATGTTTCAAACCTTAGCTTTTGTTTCTAATCCGATTGTAGAAAGTCTGACGCTTCCTGTACATCATGTCTAGTTATTTGTATTTATTTATTTAGGCGTTGCCTTAAGATGCTAGCTGCCGGTCTCTTCCTTCCTGGCTCTGTGGGAATTACTGACCCCTGTGAAAGTGAAAACGTCAGTGTACACACAGTCATGACTTCAAAACAACAGGTATGTGTTTGATCCTTCCAATCATTGCAGGTCATACAAGGTTTAGGATCATGCTGTTTAACTTCTTCCTCATGTGAGGTTAAAAAATGCTGATTGGTGCAAAGTTTTATTCTGTTTTGATTTTCAAAGTAGTGAGGGTGACCGGACGTCCCGATTTGTGCAGGACACAGTTTTCTCATTCCCACCAAGTGAAGTGAAGTGATTAATAAGATGTAATTTTATAAGAATTAAATCGTAAATTTACAAGAATTGTCCTGCAGTATTAACCATTCAAAATGTCCCCACTTTCCTTGATGGGTCCTTGGCTGGTCGCCTACAATTCCTTTTTAAACATCAATATTTGTACTAAAATATTCTTTCTGTCATGATTTGTGGACATAAAGAACTAAATAAAAGTATCATCTCCTGGTCAGACCCTGTAATTCAGTCAAAGGGTGGAGTCAGAATAAAATATGCAAGGGGGGGGTGTCACTCCAGTGACTGGAAGTTGGAGGGGATTTCGCTGGAATTGGAGGGAAGTGGGCTGCCATCTCGCTGGCGTTTGACTGGGAAGGGCCATTTTGAACGGCTGCTGCTGTAATATCATGAGAATAAAGTTGTATTTTAAGACAACTCTTACAAGAAGCACTATCTTCCCTAAAATGAGGAATGTCTAGCATCTTGTGAAGCTACAGTAAACTTCAAAAATAAGTAGGGATGGGGATCGTTAATATTTATTGATATCGATACCTTTATCGATACTCCTTATCGATCCGAGTCTTTATCGATACCACTATCGATACTTTTCTGCTATTTGGTGGAAAGACGATGCGACAATATGTTTTAAACAGAACTGGTATTGCTTTTATTGCTTAACAAGTGAGCATAACAGCCTTCAATAAACATGGCTAATGTAATAGGCCACTTCGAAATGACATAAAAATAACTAGAATATCAGCAGCACCAAATGAAAAATAAAATGTCAT